ATGTTTCTAGTCCATTTCCAGCAGCAAAAGTCGAAAATCTGCATTCTGAGGCTCCTACTCGTCGAGTGCACGAACCTACTCGACGAGTAGGATGAGTTTAGTCATGGACTCGGCGAATCCCCCCATGGACTCGGCGAGTTCATCATGCAGACAACAAGAAAATCGACTTTTTTTCACTATTTTGCATCAAGTACCAACAAACAAGCCTAGTCTCTGATACCACTGATGAGTTTTGAGCATTCTAACACTCCTAAGTGTACATGCAACCCTAGAAAACCTTGGATCTATGTTTGTCTAAAATACATGCAAAATACTTTTTCCAAGATTCATAATCCTATCTAGCATACATGGGGAACTTTAATCATAAAAGATGGCTAGAATTACATACCTTGTAGTTGTTATGATTCCTTGAAAACCTTGAGAGCCTAGCACCCCAAGTGTGATGCCTCAAATGTTTCACACAACACCAAATGTTTTGGAATAACTTTAGAGAATGTATAACACTTGTAAAATCGGCTTGCCCTCTCTAGTTCTTAGTGTAACCGATTTTGGTGAGTATCATGTTCCTTATATAGTGTGTCACATTTAGGGTTACACCATGTAAACCCTAATGTGACATGACTCTTCATTTCCATGACCCATGGGTTTGTAACTCCCATGGAGCCTCCATGGAGCATCCAATGGGTTTAACCCAACTTGATAATCCATGGAGCCTTTTAGCCCACTATATCAGTTATGGATGATTTACATAATCTACCCATATATTTAAGTAGTCATCTTTTGATCACTTAATTAATTCCAAATTAATTATTGATCAATATTAATTAAATAATACTATTAATATATTAGAACTTATAATATATTAATAAACCACAAGTGTTATTTCCCTCATTTAGTCTATCCAAATGCATGATGCCATGCAACCTAAATGGACCATGCCGGGTCGGGTCAAGTACATACTAGAAATAGTTATGGACTTAGACACATTATCCAACACTTGGTGCCTTAGACCCTGTCGATATAGTAAGAAGAACTCACCTTGCAATTGTCGACTGGAAATAGAAAGCTCAACTCTCAAATCACCGCAACGAACTCCACCACCTATGTCCAAACACGTCATAAGTTCATGAATTCCCAGATACCCCAGAAGTCAACTGGTCAACCCTTGGTCAACGTCAAAGTCAAAGTCAACTGCCCGGGTCAACAGTCCATGTTGAGCTGAACTCGTCGAGTGTATCCAGCCACTCACCGATTTCCCGGTATAAACCATCCGCTTGCCGAGTCACCAGAGTGACTCGTCGAGTTCCTAAGGCTCGCGATCGAAACTCCTTGACCACTCGTCGAGTTTTCCCTTGCAACTCGACAAGTTCACACGCACCCAACGGCTGGTAAGAACCTTAACCGACTCGCCGAGTCATTCTACTGACTCGTCAAGTCTACGATAATCTTCATCGGACTCGCCGAGTTGTTCATCCAACTCGTCGAGTTCAGGACCATCTCCTTATGACTCACCGAGTCAACTTTGCGGCTCGTCGAGTCCCTTCAATCCTTCATCCCTACAGATGCTTTTTAAGCCATGCAAAGGTTCCAGATTACAGATCCAACCTTCCAAGGCCTGCTTATCACGTAAAGTTGCAAACTTTACGTGCATGCAAAGCTTTAAGGCCCTTAAATGGCAAATCTAAGCTTGCAATGAAGTCTCACACTTGAGGGAAGGCTTATTCTTGGCAAGGCTGATAACTTTATGGGTCTAGAGGCCAAAGGGAGTCCAGATCTGAAGTTACAACTTCAGATCTTAGCTCAAACATAAGAAGCCTTTCATAAAACCCATCCAAAAGAGATCTTTGATGAACTTGAGCCAAGGAAAACAGTATAATACCTTCAAGAGAGTGTTCACTGATGTAGATCTTGAATCCCACGAGTTCTTGCTTCTACTTGCTTGTTTTCCCCAAGTGTTTCCTCCTCCAAAACTCCTCCTCAAAGCTTGAACACACCAAAAGAACACACACACACTCGATTTAGGGTTTGAGAGGGACAAGAAGCAGTAAAGGGGAGGCTGGGGAAGGCCAATGATCCTTTAAATAGGGTGAAATGCCCCGAAATCTAGGGTTTCATCTGCCAGCTCCTACTCGTCGAGTCCGCTCTTGGACTCAGCGAGTACATCACTAAAACACGTGGACCAACCCACTACTACTCGACGAGTAGGGCGGCCAACTCGTCGAGTAGACCCAAAAACCAAAATGGATTCATACATAAATCAATACCTGGGAATCGGGGCGTTACATAATCCATAATATCTACGTCCAATAAGGTCTAAACTTTAACCTCGTGAAGCCCAAAACCTTTATGTGATCATACTACAACCCGCTATCCCGAAATTAGAAACATTCCAAACTGGATGTTACACGGTTTGAACCACTTTAGCACTCATGAATTAATTTCAGATACACCATCAATGATCATGTGACATTAAGATCACCAACACACAAGTGAATCACTCAAAAAAAGTTAGAGGGTGTAGATAATCATATTAATCAAAAATATTTTGTTGATTTGTGTGATAAAGCTTTGAATGTTGATAAGAGAAATCCAAAGGAAGTTGTAATTACTACTAAAAACATCTTATTATAGCCTTTTCTTGAATTAGAGGAAATACTTAAGAAAAATCTAAAATATTCGCCAACTATCAACCTCTGAAAACACATTATCCGACATTGTTTGTGGTTTTGCGACTTTTACCCATTTAAAGTATCGTGTTTTGCCATGTTGGTACAAATATTCATCATGGGTGTATGAAATATTGAGATAGAGCCACATGGACATCTTCTAAAACAAGTTAGACAATACTTTCTAATCAATATTTATACGAATTGTTGTACTTGTTTTCTTGGTGATTGCACAAAATAATTAATCTCGGATCTATGTAGAAGTAGAACCCTTGAGGATTTAAAGGTTTATTCAATCAAAAAGCATATATTATATATTATTATAATTTATAAACCATACCAAGGTCAAGACTCAAGCCTGGCCTTTTTCTTCTTTGCCACGTGGCAAAATGTATGGTGGGGGAGATGGGTAGGATGGTAAATTCAAATAAAGGCCTACTGTTCGTCTGTTCGGGAAATGAAGCTGAGGCCGTTATCTTTCCCTCTTAATCTTGACGTACTCCTGCCTAATAAAACTAGTGGAAAATTGAAAATTCTTCATCGGTTTGTTGTAGAAGCTGGTGAATCTTGGATTCATACTAATAAATGGTGTTGGGGATTACAGTTGCAGCTGCCGGATCTCTTTCCTCATTCTTTACCCCTAAACCTTCTCCTTCATCGGTATCCTTAACTTCACCATTTACTTATTGGGATTTCTGTATAGTCTTTTATCAAAACCTAAAATTGGGTGTCTCTTCTGATTTTACAGCAATGGATGCACACCGAAATCAAACCATCCCCAATTCTACATACCATCTACGCATCCTCTTCCTTATCTGGTTCGTAAGTCGGAATCTTTATTCCTATTATCGTCTATCTTACTTGTCAAATTACCAGTTTTCTATAATAATTGCTGGATGCAGAAGACAGTGCTCCAATCAATGATACTAAATCTTCCAATATCGATCGAAGAAAATGGTTGGTCTCATCGGTTGGGCTATTAGCAGTATCACTGGGAAATCCTTTAGGAAATGGAGTTGCAATGGCGTCAAATTTTGCTGAAAGTAACCTTCTTATCCCTCGTACTTTTTCAAGATTCCTTGGTAGAGAAGGAACAATTTAACAACGGTTATTACTGGTGGTGGTGCAGTGCCAGCTCTAAAGGGGAAGGATTATGGGAAAACGAAGATGAAGTATCCTGATTATGCTGAAACAAGCTCCGGACTCCAATACAAGGTCTCTGTAAAGAGGATAATTTTGTAATTTTGTGGTTTTTATTTTTTTCTGATTATCCCACATTCCCACTCTTATCTCTTTTTGATTGGAAACAGGATTTACGAGCAGGAAGTGGTGCAACACCAAAGATTGGAGACACTGTAGTGGTATGAAGAAAGAAAACAAGATAGAATAGAAAAGCTTAAAATACCCAAAGAAAGTTGTAATGTAATGAATGATTTTAGGTTGATTGGGATGGTTACACAATTGGATACTATGGGCGCATATTTGAAGCTAGAAACAAGACCAAGGGTGGTTCTTTTGAGGTATATCATCATAATAGTACATCAATGACTTTTCTTGATTATTAATTACATTTCACTTTGCAGGGTGATGACAAGTCCTTTTACAGATTCCGATTAGGTTCCCATGAGGTAATACCAGCTTTTGAGGAAGCTGTTGCAGGCATGTCTTTGGGTGGAATCAGAAGGTGAGGTATCAACTTCAATGGACACAATTATGTATTTCAAGTGTTACGAATGATGATAGTTTGTTTGTTATATATTATATATTCAGGATCATTGTGCCACCAGATCTTGGATACCCTGAGAATGATTATAACAAGAGTGGTCCAAGACCAACAACATTTTCGGTACCTTTGATGCTTTTTGTGTTAATAATAATAATTAATATGTAATTACACTCCATAAAAAAGGTCTTCTTCTAAGACTATCAAGTATGTTCCACAGGGTCAAAGAGCATTGGATTTTGTGCTGAGGAACCAAGGATTGATTGATAAAACCCTTCTGTTTGACATTGAGCTTGTAAACATCATACCCAACTGAGGAACATCTTTTTTCATACAAGTGTTGTATTCCGTTTTCTGGAACAAAGAGTCATAGAAACAAATGTTGTGTTATTTTCAGATTCCCTATTGTCTATTCTCGTGCTACGTCATGTACATTGTTAATGAAGCTCAAAGTGTATGGCTTAAGATGATTGTTGCACTTTGTAAACCAGTGAAGTGGTGTTAAAGAATGTATAGTTACATATGCTGCAATGAGTCCTAACTTGAATAGTTTCAAGAATTGACAAGGGTTTAGTGGTTTGTGAAAAATCAATGTCACCCACATAAGCAACATCCATTTTTCTGAAATTGAACTTAATTAAACCTCAATGTTAAACACTCCCATTAACAACAAATTCTAACGTTAAGAAATGGTGAAAAAAAAAACAGACACAAAAGCTTGACCAGAGCAATTGAAGAAAGCTGAAAGATACATAATCCAAAGACATGAATACCACTAACACACCAGAAAACCAAAAAGATGAAACCTTAATCTATTATAATCACTGCAACACTTTTCGCTTATAACGAACCATAACCTTCCCTTTGACACCAACCACCATAGCATTCCAGTCAATCTCTGGAAATGGAGACACCAATTCCAACTCAAAGTTTCTCAACAAATGACTCCATATCGCTTTAATCTGCAGATAAGCAAATGGTTCTCCAAGACAACCATGTCTTCCACCACCAAAAGATATATACGAAAATGCCCCTGCAGCCTTGTCCTCTTCTCTCTCCGGGCCAAATCTATCTGGGTCATAAGTGTCCGGATCCTTGAAGATATGTGGGAGTCGATTTGCAAAGGCAGGTGACGTGGCAACTATGTGGCCTTTTGGAATGTCATAATCCTTGCCTTCTTTTGTTGTCACGGTGAAATCACTGTGTGAGCTTCGCAAGAGCATGATTAGAGGAGGGTGGAGTCTCAACGCTTCCTTTATGCATCTGTATAACACATTCATCTCAGACAAGATATCATGGTCAACCTTGTCGCCGTGTTTTTTCATAAGATCCTTCTGTTCTTCAACCACCGCCGCCATGTGTTTCTGGTTGCAGAGGAGGTAAGCTCCTGTCCATGTTGAGGTGATAGAACTCGTGTGCTGCCCTGCAAAAAGAGCAGCGATGAGAAGTCCGGTGACCTCCGAATCAGATGTAGGGCGGCCGTTTTTGTACTTGGAATCGATGAAGCACTGCAACATGTCGTTTTCACATTTCCCGCTTTGCTTCCGGGAAGTAATGATGGTTGCGAATATGTCTGCAAGTTTCTTCCGTGCTTGGTCACGGCGGCGATGGGCTGGGATGGGGAGATACGGGAATATGACACTGATGGGTAGCATGCCATTATCAAGATCATGGAAAAGAGCAGACACGTCATCGAAAAGCTTGTTGCGAACTTCTTCACCCAATAGACATCTACTGGCCGTAAGAATGATTAGGTGTTCTAGTTCGAGTTTCAGATCCACTTCACCACTATCGCCCCATTTTGAAAAGAATTCCTGCAAAATTTCAAAACCAGAGAATTATTATAAACTCGGATTGATGTAATTTTGGGGAAGAAGAAGGTAGGAAAGTAAAGTACCTCAGCTTCGAAGATCATGTGATCTACATACCCTTTAAGTTTATTAACTCTCAGAGATTCAGTGAAGAACCTAAACTGTTCCTGTCTGACGGAATAATCCACATCGAACACAACGCCGGGGCCAAAAGTCGGGACATTGAACTGGTAAACCTCCTGTTGGCTGAGATCCGATTCAGAAGCTTTAAAGAAATGGGCTGAAACTTCAGGTCCGATCAAGAACGTGATGTTTTTGTTAACGAGATTGAGTGTGAAGACGCTTCCTAATTTAGGGTATTCCTGTCTGAGCATCACGATTGGCCCTTTCAAGAAGCGTAACAAACCTCCGACGACCGGAAATGCTTTGACGACGGGAGGAAGACGTTTACGGGATCTGGGGATCAAGAAGGCGGCGATGATTTTGGCAGCGACGAGAGTGGCGATGAGGAGGGCACCCACATTGAGTAATTTGGAGTCGACTTCCATCCTTCAATCAGGGAGGAACAATCCAAGATCAGAAAATGAAAACAGAGGACATGAAGATTGAAATGAGAGATTGTGAATCGTGAAATTTAAAGAGATTGATTGAATCAAACCTGATAACGAGAGAGTGAGTGGCGATGGACCAGGGGCGTTGAGGGAGGCACTAATGCTGTGACTTATGAGTTAATTGGTATTTAAATACTTCTACTAACCGAATTTTCTATGGGCCAAACAGGAAAACAGGTGGAATCTTGATCCAGTTTCACACTGTAACAGGACTCACTTGTTCGTTAAATATTAAACACCAAATTTTGCAACTTTCTCACAAAAGATTTCAAGAAAACAGATTGGTTAAAAAATGGAGACCTAGTGGTAAATTGGTAATTTAAGAAGATTCGTATCACGTGAGCAACACACACACACATTTGTATTTGTAGCTCCAGGTTGTTTTATTTTGGATTTTAGCTCCAGTCTACCTGTACTGCACCATCCTCCATTTTAACACAGATTTAAAATTGCAACTTTCTTTTTTGATATTGTCTTGTTAACATTCCAATGGATAAAATTTATATGGTCCTTATGGTTTCTCAGTTTTTTTAATATAAAACCGAAGAACATAACTTAATCAATTGATTGATGATCAAAATTTTGGCTCCTTATTAACTCAAAAAGATAAATATCAAAATAAATCACAAACATATGGGGATATATGAAACAGAATGACAAAAATGGAAACATTCTATTAATCATTACATATATAATAATAACCCATGGAGTTTAAAATGGAGATGACATAAGCCTGGTGTTGGTTAGCGATAAGTAAACTTAATTTCCATTATTAACAATACAAGATGCTTTAAAGCCTCTCAAACTCCATAAAATAACTATGGACTTTCACAGAACTCCATCACCTGACAAAAACAATAAACAAATAACAAAAATAAGACAATGAAAGATTAACAAACAGATACCACCCTGTAAAAAGATTAACCAACCTTGCCACACATTGGACAAGTGTCACTTCTTTCCATCCATTCATATATACAACCAAGGTGAAAATGATGAGTGCACTGTGTCACTATTTTAGGATTCTCCAAAGTATATTCTGTAAGTTCATAACTTTATCAACCCTAGGCCATTAATCATTATGGAGGCATGATATATGAAAACTTTTTAGTTTTTACCTTCAAGACATGTAGGGCAGACATCTTCATTATCTGAAGATTGCTCGTAGGGTACCCCTTCTGGAACTTTCACCTTCTCCAAAGACTCTGGAAGTCCACATTTGGAATCATCTGTAGAATCAATACCAGATTTTCTCTTTCCAAAATCCAAAAACTCCATACCAGAACTACTCATGCTCCTTCTGAGTGCTTGTGAATCCTCTTGGAAATGTGTCATTGATTTCTCACGTCTTGACACCAGGCCACGTTGCAGACGTGAAAATCTATGGTCTGATTCGTAAGGTAAAGGTCTTGTGGATGAGTGGATTTCATCGTTTAAAGAAGTTGGAAGTGTGAAGCCAACAGAAGATGATGCAGTTCCTTGAATGGGAGATGAAACTGGTAGCCCTTCGATCCTCTGAAACAATGCACCATACTGCATATTGTACAATAGAAAAGAGGATTTCATAAATTGGAGAAGATGAAGTTGAAGAGATTGAAAGAGAATGTGAAGGAAATTATGCCTACTCCAGAAAATAATTGGTGGAAAAAGAATCGTAAGCAGAGGCAGTGTCTATATATAGCATTTGTGGGAAATTCTTCCAGGTCATCGCCACACTGACAGCAACAAATCGAATTCATTTCAAAGATTACTGATCCGGGCTCAAGCAGCTCAATCGATTGATTATTGATTTTTAGAGCCTGGTTATGCAATCGGCTAGCTTGAACCTGTAATTGAACAACAATTCGGTATGAATAGACGATCAATATAATGTTTAGGAGGAAGCTTGAAACTACCCTAATCTTTTATTGGATTTAGGCCACTGTGAGTATCTTTAAAACTCAAGTTTACCCGTATGATTTTAGCATCATGTTAAAAAGGGCATTTTCGATTCGAATTGCACATCAGATGCATGCCGACGATCCATGGAAACCAAAAGAGAGACGGATGGAAAAAGATTTGAATCAGAATCAGAAAGAAGACGAAGGTGTTAGGGTTTCCGATTAAGTTACCTGTGGATCATGGCGCCAGTCCAGGGCGGCAGCCTTACAACAATCTGCGAATTCCAAGAAAACTGGTAACGATTACAGGAATTTGTATTTTACTGAAGGAAGTTTCGAGAGAAGAAAGAAGAGAGAAAATGAAAATGTGTATATGGTCTCCTAAAAAGTAAAACACGCCCCACAATCAACCAACTTTTATTACTCTTTTAGTTGGGAGATACCGACGGGTTTTTCATATTTGTTGGTGGAAAATAATAAAAAGACTCTTTTGCCCTTCCTATTTCCTTTAAAACCCGCTATTGCCCTCTCCCATTTTTTCCCCAATACCATCGGAGCTTACCTCTCGCAATTCGCAGGCAGTGCTTCTCCGAAAACCTTCTCAACGGCGAAACCGAATCCACTGGTATGATTTTAGAAATTTTCATAAATATATTCTTCTCCATTCGATTGCTTTACTTAGTAATTAGGGCTTTGCTATAATATTGATTGCCTCATTTAATAATTAGGGTTTTGCTATAATATTGTTGCGTATCGACAAGGATTGTTTAGTCTGCTATTATATGTTTTTCCTCCATTACAGTGCAAATGTCGGCATACGAGAACGTTGTTACAGGAAAGCTGAAACTAAAGGGTAAGGCCCTTGACGTCAAAGCTGGTGGAACCAAGAAGATGAAGAAGAAGAAGATGAACAAAGTTTTATCTAATGAAATCACTCAAACAATCGAGAACGAGTTTTCTGAAGGTAATAATCCCTCACAATGCTTTCTACATTCATCAATACCATATAACCTCGATTCTTAATTCAAGATTACTCGCAGCAGTTAATTCTAATTCATTTCCTTTCAAATTTAACATATGTTGCAGGCATGGAATTGGAAGAGACAACAAACGATGGGAGCAAATCAAAAGATGGTTCTGGTTCGTATGTAGATAATTTGACTCCAGCTGAGAAGCGTTATATGGATCAAAGACAGAAAATAGACATGCAAAAGATGGCAAAAACATCAAACAAATCACATCGTGACAGGATTTCTGACTTCAACCAGTATCTCGCAAACATGAGCGAACACTACGACATCCCAAAAGTTGGTCCTGGCTAAGTAGCAGCTACCATTCCAACATTGTACTAGCATTTAATAATCATAAACAAAAAACGTAACATGCATGTATCGTTTGTTTTACTACTTTCATTTTGTTACTGAAATCAAATCATGTTAAAAAGAAACATCACCGATCTTTTGTTTTATTACTTTCATTTTGTTTAGCAAACTGAAATGAAATCATGTCAAAAAAGAAGCATCACTTCTACTTTCCTGAATCTTTTGTTTTACTACTTTCATTTTGTTTAGCAAACTGAAATCAAATCATGTCAAAAAGAAACACCACTTTTACTTTCCTGAATCCAAAATCAAAAGACATTTAATTGTACAAAATATTTCTTCTACTTTTGCTTTTGTTTCTAAAAGTAAAACCCTAGATATACTTCAACCCCGACACATATTGCTGTCTGGATATTAGATACTGAGCTAAGGAATATATAATCCCCAACAGCCCCAAAATCCTTATCTTGACAACATCTGTTATAATCGAAGGAGGCAAATTAAGCGGAATCGTAAGCAATGGCATCGAGTCATTCCTCTTCGTATAACTCCACACAAACCGATTAAACATCACATGACTCGGAATCGTCAAAATCAAAAGCGCCAAATTCTTAACTGCAAAAATCCAATCGGGCCCACCAATCTGCATCCCCCAACCCACATCCCCTTGCCATATCTCCTCCCAAATACTGTAAACCGAAGTCAACATCAAGTAACCCGATATCACAACCGTAACCGGGAAATACCTCTGTTTATCCCCAAATCCCGCAACAAAATCCGAATCCTGATTCAAAAGCAACAGAATCGGAGCCAAAAAGAATATCGCCCGGTTCGACCCGCCCGTCAGATTCACATTCAAAATCAAACATATCGCGAAACACATCACCGTCGCCACATTCCCGACAGCTGGCATCCATGCCCCCTCCACCGCGATCCGCTTGATCGTGAAAGCAGGAACGGTCAACACACGACGTTGATTCATGAACCGCATTTTTGGTGGGAAACTCGCGCTTTGACCGGATTGACTATGTCTAAGACCGCCGCCACCCTGGTCGTTGAACTTTTCACGCATGAGTGAGGCAAGCTCGAATTTGATCTCGAGCGCGATAAGCATGAAAATGGCGGCGTATAACCCGAGAAGTGACGTTCTTGCCCCTTCCACCGCGAGCAAGGCGGTCAACTTACTGTCTTCTTCGCCCACGTCACCGACCCCGGTTTCCGCGAGTAAGGTTTTGATTCTGACCTGGCCTTCTAACAGATAGGTGACTGGGAAGAGGGCTACGAGTAAGGCGAACACCCATGGGAGGACTTTTGTGCTTGAAGCGGATGGGAGGTGTGTGAAGACTACAAATACACAAGTGCACACCATTGTGACAACTATAAGGAGATGTAGAATTGTTGCTTGGAGGAAGTATTCGGCTGATATGAAGACACCTAAGGCGATTCCCATGGCGATTGAGAATATCATACGTAACTCCACAATGTACTTTATAGGGATGATTGAGGTGACTGCTGCAAGTGAGAGGAGGATTGCTGACATCAGCAGCCATGATGGCCATGTAGGTTTTGATGTGATGAAACCGTAGATTGAGATGTCATCGGTGGATTGTCTGGCGGCTTTTATTAATTCCGAATGGTATGTCCATGATGTTGGGAGTGGCGGCTGCATGATTATGAAAAGGAGTCCGGTTGCTATCACCAGCACCAAGCTTCTTTTAGCAGACTAAGTCGCACATGAAAAATAAACTATTAATAAAAAGAAAAAGAAAAAAAGAAAGTAGATTGTTATTACTTATTACCATGACATGAGAAAAGTGAAGGGCAACAATAGGTAAGCAAGCTAATCCGGTCAAGAGTATACAGAATCCCAAAAGTAAACCGCCAGATGGCGATCTCCCGTTCCACCATTGTAAAGCTTCAAAGATTGTTTCACGACAAAACCAGACCGATAAACCAAAAACTGCAGCATGAGTGTAGCCTTGCCATGGTTTCATCTTCGAGGCTGTTCTTGATCGATCCCTGAAATAAAGTTAAAAACTTGTAAATCAAAAAGTATAAAAGTGTGTTTACAAATCATGATTACTTACTTGTATAGAAGCAATGGAGGAGTGACAGCTAATAAAAGAATGGTGGATGCCCATAGAGCAGTTTTTGAAGTCATGAACAACATGGAGAGTTTTGATGAATACAAACAGGTTAACACCCAAACGGCTTTTGATCCGATGTGGTGGTCCACAGAGAGTCTTCTCACGAGGGCTAATCCGAGAAAAGTTGTTAAAAACACCATGTAACTTGGGTACATCACCTCATCATCAAAACTGTAGTAATATATCCCTGAGTATGTGTAAAAACGATTCTCGATGTAGCATAGGAGTAATGCGTGACTGATCAAACCGACTTCTGTTAGGTAATGAAGCTTTTGGGGAAGAAGGGCTAAACCAGGAACCACCATTGCTAATATGACATCAGCAACTATGAGCTTGCAGAAGGATTTTAATGACATGCCTGCTAGCCAGATGTTGAGGTCCCAGAAATTATGCAAGACAAACCATGTCACCATTAAGCTCCCGAGTATGACAAAGGCGAAATACGATGAGAGGCTCTTTTTTGTGAAAAAACGAGCTAGATAAAATCCAGCTACTGCAGGGAGTGGAAGGAACTACAACATAATAATAAAAAAATAATAGCACTTGTGTTAAAAAATAATCAAATTTACAAATGCATAAGTGTTTATAAAGACTTATTGTATTTAACAACTAGATTTTCCACTAACAGATTGATAAAATGCTTTAAAAAAACTTTTACCCCAACGCATATAAATTTGTATAAAGCTTTACTTATTGGATAAAAAGCTTTTTGCTAGGAGGTCATTATTCTTTAAATGAACTATTCAGAAGGTAAAAAGCTTTTCAAAAAGCTTGCAGTGGACTTTGGAGATGCTCTAAAAGTAAACATGTCAAAGTTGAGATATTGATAAATGTGGATCGAAGGATTGGCTCATTGGCAACACCAAAATCTGCCTCAAATCAGTTATGCAACATAGAACAAACTAACTTCAGTAATAAGATAAGTCATGTGAAGAACCCAAGAACTGGCTGCTATTTTTAACTAACAAATCATTATATCATAGTTTCCAAGGTAACCTAGTTTGAGTAGGATTTGAGGGGAAGCATTCAGATTTGGAACTAATCTAAGGAAATTGGTTGGCTTATTTTTAGTTTGGCTTGGACGTGGTACAAGATCGGTGGATCACTACCTATAAAGGGTAGGAAAAAGTTTGTGTAAATGTTAATGCAGGTAGCTGCTTTAGGATGTTTGGTCCACGTGATTAATTCTGGCTTAATTTTGTCTAAACACACTTGATCATTACTTAATATGGTTGGACACTTATTAACTAGCCACTTGGAAGAAAATTGAGAGGATTGACAGCTCAATTCATATAAAGAGCAATGTCCATTACTGGGTGAGGAGAAAAAGACAAGCTGAACTACTTTTGATAATCTGGTTAATGACCAACCAAAATTTATAAGGTAAAGCATAGCTTTAAATTGGTAAAGTGACGGTTGAATGAGAAAGGCATGACAAGAATAAAATATAACCTTGATATGAAAGAGATAGCAGTTACTTGAGAATGACATACCAATACAGGAAATCCCACAACGATTGCTCCAGCAGCACTCACAAAGACGGCCAAACCAGTGAAAGCCAATGAACTGGAAGCATCAGCAATCATGCCCATTTCATAAGCACCAGCACCAGCAGCCCCTCCAAGCATAGTTGCAGTGACCAGAAGATAATTCAATGGCCAAGGAACTTGAATATAGCGAGCAAAGGAATGGAAAACAACCCTGACCTCCAAGCAAATGACAACAATGACCAAAGCAACAGCGCCATTCACTACTCGAATACTTCTCAGTTGGTGTTCACTCTTGGTGACCCACCAGAGAGCCCCCCTGGTGGATGCATATAGTTGAAACAAGAAGGGAATAAAAAAAAGAAGGAACAAGTCACAGACTGTAGAGGCGGAGGAAAATACAATCGAATAGTGCGATGCAATGTGAAACATCAGAGGGAAGAATAGGAGGTTTAACGTGTGCAAGCAACTCTCGAGCTGGCCAAGGATTAAATTATCATCAGGAACTTCTCCACCATGGTAACTCACTTCTTGCTTCAATTTAAAGGATGAAACGCGAGGAATTGAGTACAGCCAGTAGAAAATGCAGTTAAAGGCCATGTGATAGTAGGAAGCATTGACCATACCAACAGCAGAGACAGTTGCCCAGCTGAAAAGAACCGAAGCTATGAAAGGGATGCAGGCAAAGAGAAGGCGTTCGAGAGCGAGGACGATGGTCGGGTACTCGATTTGAATCCACTTAAACTGAAGGGACGCCCAAACACCAATTAGGAAATTAGTCAGGGCGCATACAAAACAGGCAAGCAAGCCGAGAGGGATCGAATTGAAGGTCACGAACAGAGACGAACTGAAGAAGAAAGTGATCTGTGCAGCTATGAGAGAAAACCACACGGAGAAAAAGGAGCCAGACTTGAAGTTGAGCGAGTCGAGAATGTAAGCGATCATAAGGCCTAGGGTTAGGGCGGCGACGACTGGAGTGCCGCCGAGATCGAGAAGAAAGGCAGCGCATGGCACAAGCGCGATAGCGATCCTAGCGTTGTGGACGAAGGAAGACGGAGCGAAGCGAGAGTTCTTCAGCGATCTGCGAGTACTGCTGCTGCCGTTGGTGTAAATAGGGCTAGGGTTCCTCTCGGGAGAGTGGCCATTATTGAAGGTGGTGGAGAAGCTGGGGGCACTCATCGAAGGAGAGATGTAGGGGGCGATATGAAGGAGGTTGGAGCTCCGGCGGTAACATATTCACCGGCGAAGGTTTAATTGATAAATGGGATCTGAGTGCACTGCCGTGGCGAGCTGAGTCGGAAAGTGAGAAGAGTGGTGGGTTTGATCTGAGAGGAGAGAGTTGGGTGTGACGTGTCTGCGACGCTCGCCGCCGTTGGATTACAATTTCATGTGACCCACCATGCATCTACAAGCGTTGATCGTTTTCTATCTAAATCTATCCTTCTGTACTTCATTATAAGTTTATAACTAGTAAAGACTTCGCCGCTATGCTGCTTTTGGGATAATATGGAAAAAATCGGTAAATTTTAAAAGATATGTGTTGAAATTGTAAATCACTATAAATAGGGAAAAAAGTCGACAACTCCTAAAATTAGATATCAAAAGTATACAACAAAAAAAAAAGGAACACTGGTGGAGAAAATCCAAAATGTTGTGGCAATAATATTAAAGTTGTTAACATTGGGAAAATATGTTGGCAAAATTTTAAAGGAGGTTTTTTTGTGTTTTTTATGTCAAAATGTAAAACTTTTGACTACAAAGACAAAAAGTGTCAAATTTATTAAAGAATTGTGGCAAAAACACCAAAATGTAATACCTTTGAATATAAGGACTAAAAGTGTCAAAGTCATTAGAGATTTGTAGCAAAAACCTTAAGGCACAAAAACTTAATCAAAAGGCAAAAATGTAAAAATTTTGACTTTAGGGACTAAAAGTGTCAAGTTCAGCAAACTTATGTGGCAAAATCCTAAAGGCTAAAAGAATATTATTCCTAAGCTCCTTTGGATTTAATATATATATATATATATATATATATATATATATATATATATATATATATATATATATATTGTAACATCCCAAAATACAAGCCAAAAAAAAAAATCATTTTTGAAACATATACTTAGCAAACATTAGAAATAAAACATTCACTGATCATATCATTTCATAAAAATGTCGTGTGTCCGGAAACCATTTTATAAGAACATAATAATGTCAGAGTACAAATCCCAGAATAACTCATGATGCGGAAATCAATGTGTGTGTATGATGTGCCGCTACCGCGCCAGCTCTTTCCTCTTCGACGAAGAGGTACCTGAAAACAAAACTATAAACTGTAAGCACAAGGCTTAGTGAGTTCCCTCATCGTACCACATACCATACAGTTACATAACATACATATATTGTCCGGCATATCTGGGTGCCCGACATACCCCTTCGGTCCTCTCGACCGGATACTGTCTAGCATATCTGGGAGTTGGTCTCCCCTTCGGTCCTCTCGACCGGGTACTGACTAGCATATATGGGTGCTGGTCTCCCCTTCGGTCCTCTCAACCGGGTACTGACTAGCATATCTGGGTGCTGGTCTCCCCTTCGGTCCTCTCGACCGGGTACTGGGGACTATTTCACCCCCTTACTACTACCACATAACACATTTATCACATAATCTATCTAGCATGTCTGGGCACGACCGCCCCTTCGACCCTATCGGCCGGTAATCTGGGGACTATCTCCCCCTACCGTCACTAGTACATAGCGTCATATCATTTTAGCACATAACATATCACAGGTAGTAACAACCCTAGATGAATATCACAGAGACAATCATCTATCATGCAACTCCTACTGGTGGGCCGGCATTATGGCCGTAGACCCACCGCTACTGGAAGGTAACTCACCTCGTACAAGTGGCTGCTGATAATCTGTGCGGGAAACCTCCGTCCGCTGCTGCTCCGGAAATCCTCCGGCTACAAACCCCATAAACACTCAGTTAGAAACTGATCTCTATACTTAGGGTAAAATGACCATTTACCCCCAACCAAGTCAAGTCAAAGTCAAAGTCAAAGTCAACTTCCAGTTGACCCGACTCGCCGAGTTGGGCCGTCAACTCGCCGAGTCCCTCACTCTCTACTCGTCCTCATCCGTGACCCTACTCGTCGAGTTGGGCCGTCAACTCGACGAGTTCTTCTCTCATTCGAACGCCCCATGAAAACTCATCCGACTCGCCGAGTTGATGAACAACTCGTCGAGTTGTCCTTTATCTGATGAACCAGATCTGTCCTCAACTCGCCGAGTTGATGAACAACTCGCCGAGTTCTAAGGAGATTGCCTTGGACTCGTCGAGTCCGTTCATGCACTCGCCGAGTCCCATGAACTTCCAGCACAATGGCTTAGTCCAGAACGTTGGGTCACTCCCTGGGACCCCCTTAAAACCTTTCCACACTCAACTGGGTTCTTTTGACCCTCAACAGAAAGGGCAAAACCCTTAGACTCGCCGAGTTCAATAGTGGACTCGCCGAGTTGGTCACGTCCATACCCTAAATCTTTGCTTTCTGATGTACATCCTTTGATCAAAAGATAGATCCAAGCTTCTACAATCGATCTAACACGTAAAGTTACAACCTTTACGTGCTTGCATGAGACTTTGAGCTCAAAAGGACATAAAACAAGCTCATATGGCACATGGAACCTTTCATGGGTGCAAAAGCAACCCAAATCTGCCTAGTGACTCTCTGAATGATGTCATTCAGAAGCTCAAACCCCCAACCACGTTTGCAAACATGGTTGGCTACCAAAATGGCTCATAAAAGCCCTAAATCTTCCCAAAGAGGGATCTAACAAATGAAAGAGCAAGGTATAGACTTTATACCTTCTGAAGACTGCAAATGATGCTCACAACTGAATCCCTCTAGCCTCCTCTTGATCCTTCAAGCTTTTCCTTCTTCCTTGAACCACAAAATCACCAAGATCACTCTAAATGCCTTAAAACTCTTCAATAACGGCTAGGGTTTGCTATGGGGGTCTTCTGGGAGTAAATGAGACGAAGGAGGCCGAGTTAAGGTGTTTAAATAGGGTGCACACCCCTGAATTAGGGTTTTTGTCCAAACAGGGTCTACTCGCCGAGTCCGGGGACCCGACTCGCCGAGTACATCACTTAAACCCCGCGTCCCATCCTGCTTCTACTCGGCGAGTTGGTCCTTCAACTCGCCGAGTCCAAGACCCAAAATGCTAAACATTTAAAGATTTGATAAAAGAATACGTACCAAGAACCAGGTGTTACAATCTCCCCCACTTATTTTAGACTTCGTCCTCGAAGTCTGCTGCTCGATCGTGGAACAGCTCTGGGTAATGCTCCATCATCTCATCCATCGGCTCCCATGTCCATTCCGAGCCCTTCCGGTGCTGCCATTGCACCTTTACTAACTCAACCCTCTTGTTCCTCAGATCCTTCGACTTCCGGTCGAGGATCGCTACAGGCCGCTCGATATAATTCAGGCTGTCGTCAACCTGAATGTCCTCCAAGGGTACCACTGCTGAGTCATCCACCAGGCACTTCCGCAGCTGGGAGACGTGGAAAGTGTTGTGGATCTGACTGAGTTCGGCTGGCAGATCCAGCTGGTATGCCACCTTGCCCACCCGGGCTACAACCCTAAACGGTCCAATATACCTGGGACCCAACTTGCCCCGTTTCCTGAATCGGATGACGCCCTTCCAATGCGACACTTTCAGGAGAACCTTATCCCCGACCTGGAACTCCAGGTCTGATCGATGCTTATCGGCATAACTTTTCTGCCGACTCTGAGCAGTTTGAAGCCTGCTCCAGACCTGCTGAATCTTCTCTGTCATCTTGAGCACTACTTCGGTGCTCCCCATGACCCTCTGGCCAACTTCACCCCAGCATGTCGGGGTCCTGCACCTCCTCCCGTACAACATCTCGAAGGGAGGTCGGTCGATACTCGCGTGGTAGCTGTTGTTGTACGAAAACTCAGCTAGAGGAAGATAGGTATCCCAGCTACCACCGAAGTCTAGTACGCACGCCCGCAACATATCCTCCAAAGTCTGGATGGTCCGCTCACTCTGACCATCGGTCTGCGGGTGAAAAGCGGTGCTAAAATGTAGACGAGTACCCAACTCGTCATGGAACTTCTTCCAAAACCTGGAAGTAAACCGTACATCTCTGTCTGAAATCACGGAGACTGGCACTCCGTGCCGCGCCACCACCTCTCGGATGTAGATTTTTGGCCAACTTCTCTGCCGAGATACTCTCTTGGATCGGTATGAAGTGAGCGCTCTTGGTCAACCGATCCACGATGACCCATATAGAATCCACTCCCTGTGCGGTCCTGGGAAGCTTGGTGATAAAATCCATCGTGATGTCTTCCCGTTTCCACAGCGGGATATCCAACGGCTGCATCTTGCCGTGTGGCCTCTGGTGCTCGGCCTTGACCTTCCTGCAGGTCAAGCACAACTCAACGTACCATGCTACATCCCGCTTCCTGCAGGGCCACCAATAGTCTAGACGAAGATCTCTATACATCCCCTCGTTGCCCCGGGATGAATGGAGAATCGGGATTTGTGTGCCTCCTTCATCAGAACCTGACGCACACCCCCGTGATACGGTACCCACACCCTACGGTGTAGTGTCAATAACCCTCGACTATCATAGTCGAAGGAGGAAACATGTCCCACAATCCGCTCGCTCTTCCGATGTTCCTCCTTCATAGCCTCCTGCTGAGCCTCCCGGATCCGCTCCAAAAGCGGAGTCACCACTGTCATCCTCAGACAGATATCCCTGATCGGTGCCGCCTTGCGGCTAAGCGCATCGGCCACCACATTGGCCTTTCCCGGATGGTAAAGGATCTCGCAGTCGTAATCCTTTACCACGTCCAACCACCGACGCTGCCTCATGTTCAGATTCGGCTGATCCATGAGGTACCTTAAGCTCTTGTGGTCCGTGTAAATCGTACATCGAACCCCATTGAGGTAATGTCGCCACATCTTGAGGGCGAACACAACAGCCCCCAACTCCAAATCATGCGTCGGGTAGTTCGCCTCGTGAGGCTTCAGCTGCCTCGACGCGTAAGCGATGACGTGCCCTCTCTGCATCAATACTGCGTCCAAACATGAGATGGACGCATCGCAGTATACAACAAAATCCTCCATGCCCTCTGGCAGGGCTAAGATTGGCGCCTCGCACAATCTCTTTTCTCAGTGTCTCGAACGCTGCCTGCTGATGAGGCCCCCAACGAAAGACCACAGCCTTCCTCGTTAGCCTGGTCAGGGGTAATGCTATCTTGGAGAAATCCTGGATGAATCTCTGATAGTAGCCAGCTAATCCCAGGAAACTCCGAATCTCAGATGGAGACTTC